TTTCTGCTCCCGTAAAAGATTTACAGCCACGAAAATCCTGTACAGGGTCACTATGAGTCGGAACTGACTCTATGGTACTTAACAACAACATATAAGATAATTATACTTTTCCAGGGAATACGTTGGTCTTTTCTAAGGACAATTAATGTTCTCAACTACACAGCTTCAGTAGACCCTCCAATGTTCTTAACAGAGTTTACTCGTCTTGGTTAAAAATGAAATTCTGGTGTGATGCTACAGGATAAGCACTGGACTGCCAATCACAAGGTTGGTGGTTCAAATCCACCAATTGCTCCTGGGAAACCCTACGTAGAGTTGCTATTAGTCGAACTGACTCAACAGCACTTTACTACTAAAAATAATAATGATAATAATTACTGGTTAAAAATAAATACCACTCCCCTCCCATGCAGTACAGTTACCTAGGTACACACACACCAGCCTGGAAAAGCAATGCCATCGTATGACATTTTTAAAAGATATCCTTTTAAAACTAGAAGGGCCATAAGGGAAATGAGAAATGTTCTATTTCTTTTTTAATCTGGGTGGATATATTCATTTATACACATATATTAAGGTAAGTCCAAAAGCATTTCTACAAAATCATATAAACCTTGATTAAACAAAAGTAAGAAAACGTGAAGTTACTGTTGCCCAACACATCCTCCATCTATATCTGTACACTTCATCTCTCTAGCCCTGCCCTGAAGAATTCTGCACTTGTCATGTTACACTACATCAAAATGACAAGTTTGGCATCCCCACAAGGGCTCAATAGTGTTCCTTTTCAATGCTCTTTGAGTTTGGGAAACAAAAACGTCTAAAAGGACGACTGTAGTATGTATAGTGTATGGTTTCTCAACAAAATTCGCACCGGACAGCCCTTGTTACTCTTGTAGAATTCATATTATCATTATTAAAAATAATTTCTCAGCACAACTTTCCTGTCCTTTATCTCACCAAAGCAATTTTCAATGATCTTAAAACTTCTTCCAAATAAGCCCTGTGATTGTCGTCCTGTGCCCTTTGAGAAAACCTATCAAGTTATTCCTTGAAAACTGCAAAAAAAAAACAACCGTTGCCATAACCTTCTGAGCTGACCTGTCTGTCATAAATTTCACTGGCCCAGAAGATCTTCTTGGATACCAATGTTTTGACTGGACCTTTGTTTTGAAGGCATGCTAATAAGAATGTTGTTGTGTTGTGGAGTAGGTTCTGACTCATAGCCACCCTGTAAAAGGTTTCTGAGGAGCGGCTGGTGGGTTCAAACCGATGACCTTGTAGTTAAAATTAACCTTATGGTTCAGTGCTTTATCCTACAGGACTTCCTAACAAGACAAAGACAAGCATACTACTGAGAGAACATGTCTGCAGATTTTCACTTATTACAGAGCTATTTAAACATGTTATATTTGGAATAAATAAGTGCATGTGTGAACTGGAACCCTAGTTGCTATACTTTTTGACCTATTGTTGTGTACATACATGTGTTTGTTTATGTGTATATATATAAACTGCCCCATACAAGATGTGTACATTTTGTAATTTATATCTCAATTAAAAAAAAAAAAAGATATTCTCTAAAATCAGACATCATCATGAAAAATGAACTGTAAGTAAAATTAAAGGAAAAATTCACATACAGCACTTACCAAAATTCAAGAAAATCAGTTTGGCCTGAATCCCAGGACATAGTTTGATGAGAAATGGAATGGCAATGTACAATCCCAAAATACAGAGAAGCATCTTTCTTAGTCGGTACCACAAACCCTTCCGCCTGCAAGAGAGAAGCAATTAATAGATCAAAAGTCAGTTGATACAATTTTGCTATACTTTAATACCAGCATTATAAAAATCACAAAACAAAATACAAGAATATTGTGTTTTCCTACAAGAATAGTGCCATAGTAAAATGACTCTCCACTGTTTTATTAAAATAGTTATTTTAGAAAGACTTTTTTTTTTAATGTTTTATTGTGAATTATATGATAGTTTACATGGGAGAACACTAGTTTTACATTCATTCTATCGTATATCGTTTCATTGCCATGGTTACAATCCCCTCCATGCATCATCAACCAACCAAAGGGTATACCTTGCAAGCCTGCCCCCTACATTACAGCCCCCCACCTCCCACCCCCACCCCCCAGTCTTCAGCACAGGGTCGCTCTCTCTCTCCAGATCTAAAGTCCTCAGCTGCTCCATGTCTTCCTCTCTGTATCCATCTCAGGCATCACTGCTTATTTTAGAAAGACTTTTGATTTAAGGTTAGAATTCTACTGAGGGGGGGAAATTTTTTTTTTTTCCTATCCCACTCTTGGATAACAGTACAAAAAGGCAACCAGATCATAGAAAGTGCTCAGTCTTAAATCAGACCCAAGCAGCAACTTCCTATGAGAAGAGAGTGTTCTCTAGGTCTCTTGGGTACCCTTTCTGCTCATCAAATACAGGGTTGGGTTACTTATTAGCTACCTGTAGGAGGTAAGCCTCCCCCAAGGGCACAAACAAAACCTGTCCAACCAGGTCCTGAAGAGAGCAAGGAAACCAAAACTTTCTGTCACTGCCTCCTACACCACAAAAGTCAGACAGGGACCTAAGAACAGGTGATCACTGCAGGATCTCAAAACTCCCCTTCATCCTTAACAAGCTCAAAGAATGCTCTTCATCCTGTCTCTTTCTGCCTTTTAAAAATGCTTGAATCTGGTCATACATAAACTTTTAGTCTCAGGATCCTTCTACACTAAAAATATTATTTATCATATGAGAAATTAAAACAGAAAATTCTTAAATGTACATTAATTAATCTAATAATAGTAGTAATGAGCTCAATATATAATACTAACAAAAATTGTAAAATAATTATATTTTTCCATACAAAATATTTTAGTATGAAGAGGGACACTTCAGGTTTTCTTTCATTGTAAATTTAAAGAGTTTTTATAAATTTGTTAAAGTCAGACAGCTTAATAAAAGACAGCTGCATATCTGCTTGTTTATTCAAATGGCTGTGATATCACATGCCATGTAGCATCTGGAAAATCCACTGTATCCTCATAAAAGAATGAATGAACAAGTCAAATAACGTCTTGGTGGTGGTGATTATGTGCCGTGGAGTCAGTTCCAACTCATAGCAACTGTGTATAGGGTTTCTGAAGCTGTAAATCTTTATGGGAGCAGAAAGCTTCATCTTTCTTCTGTGGAACTGCTGGTAGTTTCGAACTGCTAACCTTGAAATTAGCAGTCTGACTAATAACCACTATTCTACCTGAGCTCCTTAAAATAACATTGGAAACAATTCACAAACTACAGAGAGCTGTTCAAACAATAAATAATAGAATATCAGAAATGGACAATAAACTGAAAGGACAAAGGAGTAGAATTGAAGAGATAATAAAAAGCCAAAATTAGTGAACTAGAAGATAAATCTGTCAACACTACTAAAACAGAAGAGCAAGCAGAAAAAAGGATAAGCAGTTAAGAACAGGCTACCCATGAGTTAAAGCTAGTCAGCAGACCATTTTTTCTAACTGTTTTCTCCTCAACTTTGGTAAAATATGTACAACAAAATCTACACCATTTCAGTAGTTTCCACGTTCATACACACACAGATTTATTTTTTTTTAAATATATATTTAAACATATCTCAGCTATCAGTGGATTTCTGAGGATAAGTCCTCTCAGTAATACAATTCTGAATCTATATCAGACAATGTTACACTGCTAATTGTGTTTTCAGTGGCTAATATTTCAGACGTGGACTACCTCTCTCTCTTCCTTCTTCCTAGTGTAAATCTGGAAGCTCCAACTGAAACCTTTCCACCATAAGTGACCACCATGCTGATATTTGAAACGCCCATGGCTGACCTTCCAACATCACAGTCAACATGTAAGCCACCACAATACGACAAGCTGATAGACAAGAATTTATTACTGATCAACAATAAAGTAAATCAGAACTATCATACGCTTTTAATGCTTTTTTAGATTAAGCTGAGGGCAAGTCTCATACTTTTCTGGCAAACAGATGGCATGTTCAATGTACCATTAGAAAGAACTCCCAAAACATGAACAAGTATTTGCACACTAGAGTAAAATCTCAAAGTAGAAATTTATATGATAGATAAATTTATAAGCAAATATATCCACTCCACATACATCAACGTAGTTAGATTCAAAAGACCAGGTCATTGCACAGAAATCGGTGTTATGTGAATATGAAGGATGCAAAAATCGGCATTATGTGAAAACGGACAATGATTATATCAATACATAACTGCCAGATTATATCATTACATAACTGCGAAACCACTGAGAATCAGAACCAAGCCAAGGTGACACATAACATTAACCATCACAGACAGTGTTATGAAAATGGACAATGGTAACATCAATACATAACTTCCAAATTATACCATTACTTAACTGTGAAACCACTGAGAATTATAATCAAGCCAAGTTGGCACACATTAACCATCACAGTCAGCATTACTATTACCTCACACCTCAGCATTCATTACTGGCTAGATACATATTGTTATTTCACAAAATTATAAGACAGCAGATTTTTAAATACTGTTGAAAATGTGAAAAGTTAGATAATTAGATAGTTAATAAGTGAACAATACATGTATACAATATTACTTTCAATTTGTTTCAAGAGATAACTCTTATAACATTTGCTTGAGAACACTGCATCTTCTTTATGTTCCACTGAGACGTTCACAAGTCATAAGTCTAAAAGGAAAAGTTGCAAAACAGACAAAGCCACATTCTTTACAGGGCGTGAAAACACTTGTGCCTACACAGGAATCAAGACTCAGAGCTTTTGCTGGAGAATTAACCTTGATGTCCAAAAGGCTGGGGAAACAAGCAAGCAAGCATGTGCTGAGGAATCTTTGGCCTGGGCCAAGAAAGCCTAGTTTGGTCCATCCTGTCTGCTGATCCCCAACATACTACCTTTAACCTTCAATCTTTTTATCTGACTCTGAAATACTAAACTCAGTGCTGGCTCGTAGTTAGTATTCAACCAATACTTGATTAAGTAATTACTGTTGGTGATCATTAATGTAGAAGAATGATCAGAACTGAGTGCCCTAGTTCTTCTGCAAAATATTTGGTTGTCTCTCCTCCCCTGGCATTTGGAACAGACAGACAAGGAGACTTGACTCTCTTTCCCACTGGTCTTTATATAAAATGGGCAGAGGAATGAACTAGGGAATAAATAAAGCTATTCTGGAGTGGCCTAATGAACCTTTTAATCTTTTCAAACTAGAAGGTCCTATTTAAAGATCAAAACCACTTCAAGGGGAAATAAATAGGTTCTGCCCTAGCAAATCAAACAAGTTTAATAAAGCAGGAAATCACAAATAACAGCAAAAAACAACAATAATTTGGCCTGAGATTCTGTTTCTTACCTGCGGTGCCAGTTCACAGGTATAGAAGTCAGAAGCTGGACACAGGGGCACATACTGTCCCAGAAGAAGAGAAGCAGGAAGGAGAGCCTGGGGAGTGCTTATAGCAAGGAAGGGTAAGCAAGGCAGGCTGCACTGCACCACTCAGATCACAACACCCAAAGGAGGAGGATCTTTTCAGTCTGATCTCAGCTCTGAGTGGGTTTTGCCAGAGAGAATATGTTCTTCCACTGAAATTCACATTTATTGCACAGCCTTTGATCATTGTAACTCTTCAGCATTAAATACCAAAGTTTGTGCCTTCTGGGTTAAAATATTGCATATAAGGCACATGTCATAGATGAAGGAAGAATGAGGCTTGTTTATGAGTCATACTGTCAACACAGAATGGAACAAAGCCTATCTTTCCTGATATCTAAAATTGGGACATATGGATCAGACTATTTACACAGACACAGTGTGTCTGTGTGAATACCAGAGGGACTGGTATTTACATTGGAGAATATGGTAATAAAAGATAGGATTGTTGAAATTTCCAGGAAAAAATAACTAATGAAGGCTATTTTAGGGGGGGAAAATTGCTCTAGTCTCCATAGCTTTTGGTCATCATATTCTTTTCTTAGAATGACAGTGTTTTACAACCTACCTTCTGGAGTCAGAAGTAGAAACCTGCCCCAATCATATTATTCATTCAAATTCAATTCAGCTTTTTCTGCTCTTTTCTTCTCCTATGTGCCTTCTCAGATGGTACTCAAACATAAGTAAAATGCATTGAGCAATGGAGACATTATTTTTTTAAAAGATATTCTACACAGTATGTTGTTGTTAAGTGTTGTGTAACTCACAGTGCCCCTGTATAGGGTTTCCAAGGAGCAACTGGTAGGTTTGAACCACTGAGGTTAGCAGTCCAGTGTTTACCCTATAGTGCCACATCAGGACTTTGAACACAGTGTAGCAGATTTATTTTCCAAAAGACCACTAGCTGGTAAGAGACAGAATGCCATGTGAATTGCAATTATGTCTGCTTTCAAATTATGCACTTCTTTATTAAATGCTTTTCTCCTATTGGAAAAAAATAGAGATACTAGTAATCAAAGACTTTGTACTACTTTGCAACACAGAACAGGAAAAGTAATGGCATAGTTAGTCCCCAAAAGCCACAGGTCAGCCATCAAATAAATGCTATAACATCCTCTGGGAAGTTACAATTGGAATTTCTGTTATTATACTGAACTGGCATTATGAATCAAATAATTGTTTTTATCTCTTGATGCCCCGGATGACTGAAAATGAAGATTAACAAAACGAACTTTCATTTCCTAATAGAGCCTATCAAAAGTGAATGGGCAAAAAATACTAAGCTAAC